GGTTGGGAACACAGGACCCAGGTTGGGACTACAGGACCCGGGTTGGGACCACAGGACCGAGTTATGACCACAGTACCCGGATTGGGACCACAGGGTGGAGTTGGAATCAGAAGACCCGAATTATGACCACGGGACCCGGGTTGGGGCCAGAAAACCCGATTTAGGACCACAGGACCCGGGTTGGAATCACAGGGTCCGGTTTGAAGCCAGAAGACCCGAGTAATGACCATAGGACTCAGGTGAGGACTACAGGACCCGGGTTAGGACCTCAGGACCTGGGTTGGGACCACAAGACCCGAGTTATAACCACAGGACCCAGGTTAGGACCCCAGGACCCGGGTTGGGACCACAAGACCTGAGTAATGACCACAGGACCCAGCTTAGGAGACCCCAGGACCCGGGTTAGGACCACAAGACCCGGCTTATGACCACAGGGCCAGCGTTGGGACATAAGGCCCGAGTTTAAACATAAGACCCGAGTTGGAACATATGATAGAGGTTGAGACATAAGACCCAGATTGGGTCCAAATAACACCAATTATATATTGAATATAAGATTTCCCCACGCAATCTACTTGTATAGGAACTTGTATAAACCCTCCCAATAGGGTTTGTACTTGTATAAACCCAACCCTTCTTCAGTGCCTTCCTCCACTGAGGGTAGGCCACATGGTATCTTCATATCTCCCGATCTCCCGCCATATCTCTCATAGACCATGTGATTACTTAGGGGTTGGCACAGGGCCCCAAAGTCCTGCAACAATATATTATTTGGTCCGCCCCGGGTATTTCATTTCCCCAGTACCACCCATTTCTTGGAGGCATTCCCCTATCCGCCACCTGGAGAGGGGCCTTATGGGGGAATTAGCAGACTTCACATGGGATATACAAATTTACGGAACATTAAATGCTAAAGAAATGCTTTTAGGGTTTAGATGAATATTGGTAAACCTTCCCAGCCGCTAAACAATTATTACATACAAATATATTTTTATTGTCAGAACTTAGAGGGTCATTCTTAGCGATACCATTTTTAAAATAACTATGTAGATATAGTAATTGTAGAATTTTTACATATTTAAATCCAAGCAGGAAGACCAAATTAGAGGCAAAAGGAAAAAACAGCCCCAAGGCCGTTTTCCCAGTAATGACTCGAGCCAGTCATTGTTGTGTCCCAAGGTGAGCGCCATGAATGCAGGACGTGGAGGGTTTGTGAATTGGCCTCCTCCATGATTCTGACAGTAGCATCAACGTAATTGTATAATTGAGATAATATACGAGAAAATCTCCTATACTAAGTTTGTCATAGTGTCGATCACATTCTGCGTGCTATTTTTTAGGAACAGATAATACGAGAAATCAAGATTGTGAAGTTGATAAATATGCCTGGCTTGGGACACTAGTATCTGCTATAAATTACAAGAGAGGAAGATAAAAAAATATTATAATGATACTTGACCAAAATAGTTCTAGTATAAGGTTACACTACAGAGATATTATTTATTATCATGTTTTTTTATCTTTCTCTCTTGTCATTTCTCATCATCTCTTGTGTGGAATCAAGGTAATGTACGAAGAGAGAAATAAAAAGTAAGTAAGAAGAGTAAAATAGGATAGGGAGTTAAAATTAATGAGAGAAAAGTCATGCTCTGAGTCGCCCAATGAGGAGTTTTTCAAGAAATCTCTAAGACCAACTTTTTTCCGTTGAGGTACAGCCAACGAACGCCAAAAAGGGTCAGCATCCAGTAGCACGTACGTTGGTCGCGAACGCGTGGTTGGCTTTTCTTAGTTAATAAAAAATGGGTTGGCAATATCCTGTAAAATAATTATTGTTGTTTTCGTGTCCTATAAAAAGCCTCAGATGTCCCCGTGAATTTCTATCACAGCAGTCGCAATGTCCACTATCTTGGGTGTGTAAAGCTTCTGCTCTGGGTCCATGCCAATTTTTAAAATAATTGAAATTAAGGTTTAGTTTATATTTATTCCGAAAGATGCACATTGCCGTCTAAAAAGATCCTTGAGAGGCTCAGAGCATGCATTTTAGTTTATATGTGGTAATTTAGATATTCTTAAAACTTGTACCATATCCTGTAAACAAGAAAGAGGAAAGATAAAGCCTTTCTTTAAAGATAACACCAATATCTTCTCCACTCCGCTCGGCGGGCATATGCTTGCGCAGTTACATACCATCATCAGTAAGAAGAATATTCATTGGCTGTTCAAGATGCTTCCCAAAAGCTTCGCGCTTCTTTAAATTTCAATATATATAAACGTTTTTTGTTTTTTTTTTCCAATTATTCTTGCACAACGACTGCATGCCATATTACTGCATATATGTCATAGTATGCGTATTTTTTGCAAAGTTGCGACCCAATTATGTATGTGGTTGAGGTCAAATAAAGTTACAAACAATCTTGGCGACAGAGAGAGGGGTAGATCTAGACCAAACATTCCATTGAAAGGCTTCCGAATTGAGCGTAACAGGAAAGTGAGATGCTGTTGATAACGCGCGTGGACACGTGAGCTGAAGACAAAGCTATGCCCACATCACAATCAAGATTCGTTCCCTTTGAAGACCCTACCTCTTGGTGTGCCATCAATCTACTCCATCACTGCTCAAATCTACATGTTACCGCAACCTATTAACATAATCACCATATATATATATATATGTAATATTGTTGCAAATGTGCCGACGTATGGATGAACTGGCAGTCGTGTACGTGAGGCGAGTGTTGGTGTTCTTCCCACACGCGGACAACAAGAAGCAGAGGCAGGGCTAGATGTTAGCACCGAGAGTGATCGGGGACAGCCCACGGGACAAAGGTAGAGGCCATGACACAAACTTGAATGCTATCTCCGAGACATGGAGAGAGAGAGAGTGTGTTAGACAGAAGCCGTATGTCGATGGCCACACCCTAAAACCATCTGCTGCTGACCCCCTGCCAAAATCTGTCCTGTTTTCAGGGGTCGTCTATAAAGAGTCCCTGGGGGCCAGTCCTACATGGGCGTTGGCATTTTCCTCCTCTCTCCCCAGCTGTCCCCAGCTGACCGCTCTTTGGATTTTTATTTTGACGTCAACATTTGTTACATACAAATAGGGGTTTACAGGTATTATCAATAAAGATATAGCATATATACAAAATATGGAGGTGGCAGCAAATAGAAACGGTGTACATTTTTGAAGAAGGGTAGAATCATTTAAGGTATCAGCTCTAACTAATTTGAAGATATGTGACATATACTAAAAGTGTCATATTTATACAGTTTTAAAATATACAATATATATATATATATATTATGACGACGGCAACGGATGTCGATTATCTTCTTTAAATGTGTCAAAAACACTCAGAATGTTGAATGCTCTGACTCCAATACTGACACCAACCAGTGAAGAAGCTAGAGACATGGTCTTACCAATATTTTTGTGTGTGGCATTTTATAGATGCTATATATCGGGTAGAAGAGGAGTCTTGTATCCTGGTCGCGCTGTGGTCTTATTCATCAACTATGCGTTATATGAGAAAACTATGAGTGAAATACTAGTTTATAAAGTAAATAATATATATACCACACATGTGTTAGTTATGTTAAAAAAGCGTTCTCCGCTTTTCAAAAACCAATGTAATAACTAGATAAATGACCCGGCGGATTTTTTTTTGCCTACGGCCATACCACATTGAAAACACCGGTTCTCGTCCGATCACCGAAGTTAAGCAATGTCGGGCCCGGTCAGTACTTGGGAGTCGAAACGTTGATAAAATAAAAAAGTGTCTATAAGTGTATATTTTTCATATAAAATGAATGTCGGCCAGGCATCCTCTATCTTTACGACCACCACCACTTGTTATTGAGCTAATTTACTTGTTCCAGGATTGAAGGTGACCCAATAAGTGATAGAGTATCTAGAAGTTTAATTTTGAAAATAATAATTCTGTACTACCAATTCATCTATTGAAGTGGTTTAATTGTAAAATGTAGATCA